AGGAGAAAAGCACAAAATGAGAAAACCAATATAAAAATACAGCAATAAAAAAGTAAAAAAGAAGAAAAAAGAGGGGGAAAAAACACAAATCCCTAATTGCATATCCATAATTTCCATTTGCTTGTTTCATTGACCTCCTCACACCTCCGTTTTTGTATTCTAGTTTAGTAATTATTTCAGCAAATTCTTTCCATCTTTCTCAATTTTTGTTATAAAATTTGTCTTAACAATTTAACCTAGCTGCTGTTGCTTTGCCAGTGAGTCTTGGTGAGGACCGCTCCCCCCTGAAGCCCTTTTTCCACCTTGGGCCTGGGGGCGGGCCCCATACTCCACCTCAGCATATAAGGCTCCAAGGAGGCCTCCGGACATTGCTGCTGCCGCTCTGCCGTGAGTTTGTGGCGAGGACCGCTCCCCCTGCAAGCCCATTCTCCACCTTGGGCCTGGGGGCGGGCCCCATACTCCACCACAGCATATAAGGCTCCAAGGAGGCCTCGGGACATCGCTGCTGCCGCTCTGCCGTGAGTTTGTGGCGAGGACCGCTCCCCCTGCAAGCCCATTCTCCACCTTGGGCCTGGGGGCGGGCCCCATACTCCACCACAGCATATAAGGCTCCAAGGAGGCCTCGGGACATCGCTGCTGCCGCTCTGCCTATGAGTCTTGGGGAGGACCGCTCCCCCTTGAAGCCCATTTTACACCTTGGGCCTGGGGGCGGGCCCCATACTCACCTCCGCAGCTTATGGGGCTCCAGGGAGGCCTCAGGTGTGTGGGGTGGGGTGGGTGTTTAGTTGGGTGTGGGAATTTGTTTAATTTAATTATGTTGTGTTTGTAACTTTGTTTTTTGTTTTTATAGTTTTATTGTTCTGTTTGTTTTTTGTATAGGCTTTAATTTGATTTTAAGGGGAGGGGTCAGGGCTGCCTGGGAGTGGGTCCCAGCAAACAAAATGGCTGGGGCAGGTTCCACAGGGGGGGATGCACTCGGACAACCGATCTCAGTGATCACGGGTAGGAGGAGGAGTTACGCTAAGACCAGACCATGTCATTACCGAGGAAGCAGGCTTAGTCGTTGTTTGAGGACTATCCCTGCCTCCAGGTCTGGTCCTGACCGGAAGGATACTGGAATCAACAAGGAAACCCACATGACCTGAAAGTGTTGCTGTGCAATGCCAGGTCAATGATGAATAAAACCTCTGCCATCCATGACCTGATTGTGGATGGAGGATTTGACCTGGCATGTGTGACAGAGACCTGGTTGGATGAAGCAGATGGGCCCGTCCTTGCCGCTGCTTCTCTTGCGCAGGTTTCTCTTGCGCACAGCAACCCAGGCCTTGTGGGCGGGGAGGGGGGGGTTGCAGTGATTTTTAGGAAGTCATTAGTTTGCACCAGGCGTCCTATTGGAAAGACCCAGTTCTCTGAGTGCATGTTCTGGAAGTTGGGCAATAGGGGCAGTACAGGATTCCTATTGGTGTACCGACCTCCCCGCTGCACCAAGGATTCCCTGCCCGAGCTGCTTCAGGTCGTGGCGGATGTCCTCCTGGAGACACCTAGTTTGGTTGTCCTAGGGATTTTAACATCCATGCCGACACGACCTTACAAGGGGCCGCTCGGGACTTCGTGGAAAGCATGGCCTCCATGGGGCTGTCCCTGAATAAGTCTGGCCCAACTCATAGCCACGGGCATGCCTTAGACCTGGTGTTCACCTCTATGGATGTTGGTGATCTGACATTAAGTAAAAGCAAAACCAAAGAAGTGCCATGGTCAGATCACTTCCTGGTGCAACTGGACTTCTCCGTGACCCTTCCCTCTGCAGGGAGGCGGGACCGATTCAGATGGTCCGCCCCGCCTCTTAATGGATCCAAATGGTTTCCAGAGAGTGGTAGGGGATGTTTTATCCCATGTTGATGGCCTTTCAGCTGATTCCCTGGTGGCCCGCTGGAATGTGGAGTTAACCAGGGCTATTGACTGTTTGGCTCCAAAGCGCCCTCTCCGATTGCATGGAGTCCGGACAGCCCCACGGTTTTCCACGGATCTGAGGGCAATGAAACAATCGTTGAGACGGCTAGAGCGCCGGTGGCGGATAACCCATTCTGAATCTGACCGGACACGGGCTAGAGCTCAATGTCGAGCCTACCAAGTGGCAATAGCGACGGCGAAGAAGACTTTCTTCACCGCCTCTATTGTATCTGCGGAAAACAGCAGCAGGAGACTCTTTCAGGTGGTTCGCAATTTAGCGGAACCACCTGCTCCATCAGGGCCCAGTAGGGGCCCCATGATCTCCTGCAATGACTTTGCAAAGTTTTTTGCAGATAAAGTCGCTCAGATTCGAGAAGAGGTAGACTCCACTGTGGGAGCAGGGCCGGGCGGGAGAGTGCTAGAGTCCTGTCTAGTCAAGTTGTGTGGGATCATTTCCAATCTGTTACCCCCGAGGATGTGGACAGGCTGCTTGGACGAGTGAAACCAACCACTTGCCTCCTTGATCCTTGCCCATCCTGGCTTATAAAAGCTAGCCGGGAAGGACTGGGCGATGGGCTTCGTGGGGTGGTGAATGCTTCCCTCCGTGAGGGAGCCTTCCCAGACCCACTGAAAGAGGCGGTTATTAAGCCGCTTCTTAAAAAACCATCTTTAGATGCGGCCACGATAGCCAACTATCGCCCAGTCTCAAATCTTCCATTCTTGGGCAAGGTGATTGAGCGAGTGGTTGCTGAACAACTCCAGGCACGCCTGGAAGAAGCGGACCATTTGGATCCCTTCCAGTCGGGATTCAGGCCTCATCATGGGACTGAAACTGCCTTGGTCGCACTGGTTGATGATCTCCGGCGGGCTAGGGACAAAGGTGAGAGCTGTTTCCTAGTTCTGCTGGATCTCTCAGTGGCGTTTGCTACCATCGACCATAACATCCTTCTGGACCGTCTTGAGGGGCTGGGAGCTGGGGGCACTGTCATACAGTGGTTCCGCTCCTTCCTCCTGGGCCGTGTTCAGAAAGTGGTGGTGGGGGATGAGTGTTCAGACCCCTGGGCCCTCACTTGTGGGGTGCTTCAGGGTTCTGTCCTCTCCCCCATGCTTTTCAACATCTACATGAAGCCGCTGGGAGAGATCATCAGGGGATTTGGGCTGGGTGTTCATCAGTATGTGGATGATACCCAGCTCTACCTCTCTTTCAAATCAGAACCAGTGAAGGCAGTGAAGGTCTTGTGTGAGTGCCTGGAGGCGGTTGGAGGTTGGATGGCGTCTAACAGATTGAGGTTGAATCCTGACAAGACAGAAGTACTGTTTTTGGGGGACAGGAGGTGGGCAGGTGTGGAGGATTCCCTGGTCCTGAATGGGGTAACTGTGCCCCTGAAGGACCAGGTGCGCAGCCTGGGAGTCATTTTGGACTCACAGCTGTCCATGGAGGCACAGGTCAAATCTGTGTCCAGGGCAGCTGTTTACCAGCTCCATCTGGTACGCAGGCTGAGACCCTATCTGCCTGCGGACTGCCTCGCCAGAGTGGTGCATGCTCTGGTTATCTCCCGCTTGGATTACTGCAATGCGCTCTACGTGGGGCTACCTTTGAAGGTGACCCGGAAACTACAACTAATCCAGAACGCGGCAGCTAGACTGGTGACTGGGAGTGGCCACAGAGACCACATAACACCGGTCTTGAAAGACCTACATTGGCTCCCAGTACGTTTCCGAGCACAATTCAAAGTGTTGGTGCTGACCTTTAAAGCCCTAAACGGCCTTGGTCCAGTATATCTGAAGGAGCGTCTCCACCCCCATCATTCTACCCGGACACTGAGGTCCAGCACCGAGGGCCTTCTGGCGGTTCCCTCACTGCGAGAAGCCAAGTTACAGGGAACCAGGCAGAGGGCCTTCTCGGTAGTGGCGCCTTCCCTGTGGAACACCCTCCCACCAGATGTCAAAGAGAACAACAACTACCAGGCTTTTAGAAGACATCTGAAGGCAGCCCTGTTTCAGGAAGCTTTTAATGTTTGATGTATTATAGTATTTTAATATTCTTTTGGAAGCCGCCCAGAGTGGCCGGGGAAGCCCAGCCAGATGGGCGGGGTATAAATAATAAATTATTATTATTATTATTATTATTATTATTATTAATTAGCTCAACAAATCCTTACCATCTTTCCCCATATTCTATTATTCAGTTTACCTTAATTTATTTATCCTTATCTTACCCCTAAGTGCCTTAAAACTTAAATCTTAAATTTCAAATATACATAACTCCTAATATCATTTCTGCTAGAGTCGTATAGTTTCATTCCCACTGTGATGGCCTGGGATTCCGATTCGGAGGATGAAACAGAGGAATCCCAGCCTGCACAGGAGTCCCCGCCTCCAGGGCCGGCTGGACTGGGGCAAGGCCTAGATGCTGAAGAGCCTGCACCTGTGGCAGTGCATCAGGAGCTGGCCCCAGGTGAAGCCCTTCTGGCCCCAGAGGGGCTTGATGACTCAGTGGCCACAGGTGAGCCTCCTCCAGGGCCCAGTAACCCTTCGGCCTCTCCTGATCTGCAGAGGCTTAGGGCAGAGAGGCGAAGGGAACTGGTTGCCCCCAGGAGGAGTGCTCGCCTTAAGGCCAGAGGAGGCGGGGCTCCTGGGGACCGGGACCGCCCTGGCCTTAGAAGAGGATAAAAGCCCAGTCAGCCCGGCCCCAGGTTGCGGGAGCAACGTCGTTGTTGGCTTCGGACCTTCCTGTGCTCCTGTTCCCTGCTCGGCTTCCTGTTCCTGACTATCCGGTACTCCTGTTCCCTGCTCGGCTTCCTGTTCCTGACTATCCGGTACTCCTGTTCCCTGCTCGGCCTCCTGTTCCCGACCATCCGGTGTTCCTGTTTCCTGCACAGCCTCCTGTTCCAGCATTCCTGTTCCCCGCCCGGCTCTCTGCCTCGGACCTTGCCCCTCTTCGTGTGGACTCTGCTACACCCAAGGTACCTTACCCCCCGGGACCAGCACAGTTTGCTCCCGCCACACCCGCACTTCCCCTTCGTAGGGGTGCGTTCGGGAAGAGCCAGAGGCCATGGCTGAACAGGCGGCTGCACTGGTGGCTTTGGCCCAGGAGAACCAGGCCTTGAATCACACCGTGCAGCAGCTCAGCGACGCGGTTGTGGCACTTCAGCAACGCTTGGAAGCCCTACCGGCTCCTGGGGCCGACGCCCGGCTCCGGGCAAGTACCCAGTGGCTTTGCCTGAGAAATTTGATGGAGCCCCGGCCAGCTTTCCCATGTTCCTGGCCCAGGCCAAGCTGTATATTCAGGGGCGAGCCCGGAACTTTCCTGACGACCGCACCAAGGTGCACTTTTTGATTAGTTTGTTAAAGGACCAGGCGGCCAAGTGGGCGTTGCCGTTACTCAGGCAAGACTCCCCTTGCTGGCAGACTATACGGGGTTTTGCAATCGTTTGGAGGCCGCGTTCGGCAACCCCCAGAAAGAGAGTCAAGCCAACCGGGCGATTCGGCGTTTGAAACAGGGCAAGTCCACGGTGGCCACATATACCACGGAGTTTCGGCTGTTGGCACAGGACTTGACCTGGAATGACTCGGCACTGCGGGACCAGTATCTCGAAGGGCTTTCGGACGAGGTACTGGACCAGTTGGCCACAATGGAACGCCCCACCACGCTGGACACTCTCATTCAACGGAGTCTACAAATAGACGACCGGTTGGAGGATCGGCGTCAGGCCCGGGGTCGCCGACACTTCCAGTTCACGGCACCAGTTTTTTCCGGCAGCCCCACGGTCACAACTGATTTAACGGAGGAGCCTATGCAGCTCGGGGCAGTGCGGCCACGCCTTTCCCCCGCAGAGAAGGCGCGGCGTCGGGAGGGAAATCTCTGTCTTTACTGTGGCGGAAGTGGACACTTCGCTCGGTCCTGCCCTGAGAAACGCCAGCCGCAGGGAAACCGCCAACCCCAGTAGCTGATGGCCCTAGCTGCCGGGGGTCCCAAACCGTACAGAATGGGCCCGCACCAATGGACTTGCAACATCTTATGGTTTCAGTACGTTTATACCCTCCAGGTGGGCCCTGGATCCTCACCCATGCTTTGGTAGATTCAGGGGCAACCCGCTCCTATATGGACGCTGCTTTTGCCGCCCATCATCAGGTGCCACTTGGAACAAGCCAGTACCGGTCCAGGTGGAAGCGATTGACGGACGACTTCTGCGTTCAGGTGCCGTTACTCAGGAGACCCAGCCCTTGGTCCTGTGTCTCCAGCAGCACCGGGAGTTGCGGACTTTGGACATTGCCTCTATGCCCCGCTTCCCCCTGGTGCTCGGGATGGACTGGCTGGAAGCCCACAACGTTCAGATTGACTGGGTCAAACGGACCGTGCACTTCCCAGACCCATGTTCCCATGCTCAATCCGGAACGCTGGCGGCCGCGCCCTCAGAGGAGGCAGCACCCACGCTCCCAGCCGTGTACCAGGACTACCAGGACGTGTTCGAGGAACGGGGGGCAGACCAGCTGCCGCCACATCGGCCTTTGACTGCGGCATAGACCTCCAACCCGGAGCGCCTTTACCAGTGAGTCGCTTATATTCCCTAACAGAGCCAGAGCGCGAGGCTTTGCAGGACTTCTTGCGCAAGAACCTGGAGCGTGGGTTCATTAGGCCTTCCACCTCGCCTACCGCGGCACCAGTGCTTTTCGTTAAGAAGAAATGTGGGGAACTCCGCCCTTGCCATGATTACCGAGCCCTGAACAAAATTACCGTCCCAGACCGGTACCCCTTGCCCCTTATCTCGGAACTGCTGGAGCGGGTGCAAGGGGCACAGGTGTTCACCAAGCTGGACCTCCGGGGGGCCTACAACTTGATTCGGATCCGAGCCGGGGATGAGTGGAAGACAGCGTTTGGGACCCGGTACGGGCAGTTCGAATATTTGGTTATGCCTTTCGGTTTGTGCAACGCGCCTGCTGTGTTTCAACGCTACATCAACCACGTGTTTCAGGACTTGTTAGACAAGTACGTGGTGGTGTATTTGGATGACATACTGATTTACTCCCGTGACCCGGCTTGCCATGAGGGACATGTCCGGACCGTGCTGCAACGCTTGCGTGAGCACCGTTTGTACGCAAAGCTCAGCAAGTGCGAGTTCCATCAGCGGACTGTGGACTTCCTTGGTCACCGGCTCTCTCCAGATGGGGTGCAAATGGACCCGGGGAAGGTGACAGAGGTTCAAGAATGGGCGGCACCCCGGAACCGCAAGGACCTGCAGCGTTTCCTGGGGTTCGCCAATTACTACCGGACCTTCATCGCTGATTATGCTCATCGCACCACCCCGTTGACCCGGCTACTGCGCCCAAAGACGCCGTTTTCCTGGGACAAGGAGGCAGAGGAGGCGTTTCAGGGGTTGAAGGCCTGTTTCCAGAGGGCACCAATCTTACAACATCCTGACCCCTCTCGACCCTTTGTGGTGGAGACCGACGCTTCCAGTACGGCTCTCGGTGCCGTCTTGTCTCAACAGATTGGTCCTGAAGCGCCACTCTTACCCTGTGCCTTCTATTCTCGCCAGCTCCTACCAGCGGAGCGTAACTATACTGTGTGGGAGCGGGAACTACTGGCCATCAAGGTAGCCTTTGAGGTCTGGCGCCACCATCTTGAGGGGGCACGACATCCGGTGGAGGTGAGAACCGACCACCGGAACCTGGAGTACCTCCAGACCACCCGCAAGCTGAACCAAAGACAGATCCGGTGGGCGTTGTTCTTTTCCCGGTTCCAGTTCCGGATCCGCTACATCCCTAGCTCTCAGAATCAGAAGGCGGATGCCCTGTCCCGGAAACCCGAAGACAACGCAGACTCGGTACAGCAAGCAGAACCCACCACGATCCTACCTCCGGCTGCATTCCTGGCCACCCAGGAGGCGCAGCCACTGCAGGTTCGGGTGCGGGAACAGCAGCGGGTCGACGCTTGGGCCCAGGAACGACTCCGGGAGCTGGCTGAAGGGTCCAGCCCACAGTATCCGGGGCTGGTCCTGCATCAGGGCCTTCTGCTGCACCACGGTCGTCTGTACATCCCGCCAGGGCCACTACGGCTGGAGGTTCTCCGGATGGCCCATGATGCCCCAGCAGCGGGGCACTTTGGACGGTATCGGACCACCCATCTGGTCAGTCGAGAGTTTTGGTGGCCCCGCCTGAAGGCTGACGTGGCTCGCTACGTTGCTGGTTGTGATGTCTGCCGGCGCGCCAAGGGACCTACCGGGCGACCCCCCGGCCTACTTCAGCCATTGCCAGTTCCACCGCGCCCCTGGCACACGGTTTCGTTGGACTTTGTAGTGGACTTACCCTCGTCTCGTGGCTGTACCTGCCTTCTGGTTTTCTCCGACCATTTCACCAAGATGGTGCACTGCGCTCCCTGTCCAACTGTACCCACAGCCAAGGAAACTGCTCAGCTGTACCTTCAGCATGTCTTCCGCCTGCATGGACTACCTGAGCGCGTGGTGTCCGACCGGGGTGTTCAGTTCACATCCCGGTTCTGGCGAGCATTACACCAGACCCTCGGGACAGAGGTCTGCCTCTCGTCAGCCTACCACCCACAGACCGATGGCCAGACGGAACGGGCGAACGCGGTGCTGGAGCAGTACCTCCGGTGTTACTGCAGCTACCAGCAGGATGACTGGGTCGACCACCTGGCATTGGCGGAGTTCGCCTATAACAACGCGGTGAATGCGTCCACCCAGCAGACCCCGTTCCAGGCCAGTTATGGTTATCATCCACGGCTGTTTCCAGAGGTGCTGCCGGCATCCGCGGTCCCGGCGGTGACGGAGTGGCTTCAAGAGCTCCAGTCCCAGCAACAGCTTTTGGTGGAGCAACTGCACCAGGCCAAGGAAGCGTACAAAGCCCAGGCCGACCGCCACCGCCAGGTGGGGCCGGAACTCGCGTCGGTGACCTGGTTTGGCTCTCCACTCGCCACCTCCACCCCTCTCGACCTTCGCGGAAGTTGGACGCCCGCTTCACCGGCCCGTTCCCTATCGTAGACCAAATCTCTCCTGTGGCATTCCGTCTCCGGTTACCCGCAACCCTGAAGGTTCACCCGGTCTTCCACAGGTCCCTTTTGAGTCCGGTGGCCCCACCCGACGAGTTCCACCCGGACCGTCCCCGACCGCAGCCAGTGTTGGTTCGGGGAGAGCCTGAGTACGAGGTGGAACGCATCCTGGACTCCCGATACCGCAGGGGAAAGCTGCAGTATCTCATTGACTGGAAGGGGTACGGACCGGAGGACCGTTCCTGGGAACCAGCGGCCAATGTCCACGCACCTGCCTGCCTCCGAGAGTTCCATGCGACGTACTCCCGGCAAGCCGGGTCCGGACCCTCGGTTGAGGGGGGCCTGGGAGGGGGATGGTGTGATGGCCTGGGATTCCGATTCGGAGGATGAAACAGAGGAATCCCAGCCTGCACAGGAGTCCCCGCCTCCAGGGCCGGCTGGACTGGGGCAAGGCCTAGATGCTGAAGAGCCTGCACCTGTGGCAGTGCATCAGGAGCTGGCCCCAGGTGAAGCCCTTCTGGCCCCAGAGGGGCTTGATGACTCAGTGGCCACAGGTGAGCCTCCTCCAGGGCCCAGTAACCCTTCGGCCTCTCCTGATCTGCAGAGGCTTAGGGCAGAGAGGCGAAGGGAACTGGTTGCCCCCAGGAGGAGTGCTCGCCTTAAGGCCAGAGGAGGCGGGGCTCCTGGGGACCGGGACCGCCCCTGGCCTTAGAAGAGGATAAAAGCCCAGTCAGCCCGGCCCCAGGTTGCGGGAGCAACGTCGTTGTTGGCTTCGGACCTTCCTGTGCTCCTGTTCCCTGCTCGGCTTCCTGTTCCTGACTATCCGGTACTCCTGTTCCCTGCTCGGCTTCCTGTTCCTGACTATCCGGTACTCCTGTTCCCTGCTCGGCCTCCTGTTCCCGACCATCCGGTGTTCCTGTTTCCTGCACAGCCTCCTGTTCCAGCATTCCTGTTCCCCGCCCGGCTCTCTGCCTCGGACCTTGCCCCTCTTCGTGTGGACTCTGCTACACCCAAGGTACCTTACCCCCGGGACCAGCACACCCACATTTTCCCTAATATTCATTAGCTGATTCTAAAATAAAAAAGTTTCCATTATAAATTCTCTTCCAATCATCATCCAGCGTCTCTTCTTCCTGGTCTCGGGTCATGTCAGTCCTTATTGTCCTTATTGTCCATTCCGTCTAGTCCATCAACCTGGAAGCCTTATGTCCGAGGCCCTTAAATCTCTTCCATGTCCCTTCTGCAATTCTTCTTCATCTTGTTTGTGCTTGCCCTTTTCCTTGTCTCTTGTTGGTCTCTGTCTTAGTTTCTTTCCTTTCTCATTGAGGAGTAGGTCTCTGGGTGGTTCCAACCCAAAATTGTCTCCATCACCCTTCATCCAGCTCACCCATTCCCCACAGTCCTACTCCCCACAGTCCTCGATGTAATCCAAAATGAATTTAAAATCAAATTTCAGAATCTCTCCAAAGCTAGAAGTCTCCTCATCTCCAGACTCCCCTTGGCCCGCTCCAGCTTCAATCTTCAATAACAGTGGCTTATGCTCCTGTAGGGCCTCGGGTCTCTCCATTTGTACTATTTGAGGTGCAGCCACATCCTCCTCCATTGTCAATTGCACTTGCCCAGTCGGTACAGATTGATAGGTTGGTTCTTGGATGATTTCTGTATCAATGTTATTAACCACAACAGTCAAATCCATTTTCTCATTCATTAAGTCCATCTTTTCATGCATCTGTTCCAACAAAGCATTTGTCTTGCATAGAGCAAGCAACCAGTCTTTCTCTCAGCTCATCTTTGTTCAAGGTCGAAAAAGTCTGTTCCCACAGTCTTAATCTCACAGATGTTGGGTCTCAAATATGCTGCAACAACAATTTAGCAAGCTCCCTCTAGAGGAGACAATCTACTTGTAGCCATTTTTTTTAAAGACAAAGGAAAGTTACTTTCATTTTTCAGATATTTCAGACGTTTTTCAGATATTTTGTTTCTTTAAGATGCAAAAGGCAACATTAGAATCAACTTGTTTCTCTTCATTAGCTATCTGTCAAAGTGTTACGTTCACCGTCAATGAACCTCAGCAACAGTTTCTGTCTCTGACACCCTGTTCCCAGGTTAGAGACGATGGAAACTTATCCTTCTTAACTCCCTCTCCTGGTAGAGTTAAACAGAGTCCCCCCCCCTTTTCTCCTGCTTCCAAGGGGGGTTTCAGTGGTTCTAAATGAAGGAAATTTAGTCCTTTTTTGACAGCTTCCCGGCTTTAGCTTGCAAAATTTTTGCTTTAGTCTATATACAAGGAAACGGAAGGCGGACTTCCTGTTTACACCTTCCCGCTTCGTTACCAAATTAAAACAATTTCTTGATCCAATTTTCCGTTTCTACTCACGGGTACTTGTTTTAAGTCCAATTGTCCACAGGAAAAGTCAGTGCTCTCTGGCAATGGCTGTGCGGCTTCACTCCGTGAAAGTAGCAGTCAGTTCGTAGCACCGCGCTTCTCACCCCACTTCGCTCCGGAGCCCCTAGATGGGATTCCCCGCGAGTAGGGGGCGCTTCTGGTGCCCTGCCGAACTCCACGTTCCCAGGCTTCCTCCGCCTGGGATTTCTAGCGGGTCCCCACCTTCGCCGCGGCGGGAAGACCCAGTTTTCACGGAGCCCGTTCCTCCAGTCGGAGGAACTCCGCCATTCACCAATGGCGCTGACCCGGAAGTCCGAGATGCCACCTACAAGTTGTGCCCAACAGTCCGCCCAACGAAGCCATGTGTTCAGCTCTTTGTACACAGCTAGCTTCAGATTTTCTGAAGTTCACTGCAGTCGATTTCTCCTGCTAGGAAAGCTGGCAGATGGCTGTTAAGCAAATGATTGACTTTTGAGCTAAATCTCCCCACTCACAAAAGTCAACAGAGGGGGAAGGGTTCTCCATGGGATTTCTTGCCCATGATGGAATTAGGATGGAGCATGTGCTGAGGTGAGCAGCCAAGATGATGAAGGGTCTGTGAACAAAGCCTGATGAGGAACAGTTGAGGGTATGTTTAGCCTGCAGAAGAGGAGACTGAGAGGTGATATGATGGCCATCTTCAAATATCTAAAGGGCTGCCACATGGAAGATGGAGCAAGCTTCTTTTCTCCTGCTCTGGAGGCTAGGACTTGATTATGTATTTGTTTGTTTGCTTGTTTGTCTTATATACTGGCCTTCATAAACAGATCTCAGGGTGGTTCACAAGACAAAAATACAAGATAAAAGCACAAATAAACAGAAACAAGAAAACAATAGTCCCCCTCCCATAAACATATTTAAAAGGCTGTAGAATATTAATAATAATAATAATAATAATAATAATAATAATAATATAATAATAATAATATTTTATTTATATCCCGCCCTCCCCAGCCAAAGCCGGACTCAGAGCGGCTAACAACAGTAAAATGATACAACATTCTAAAATCATTTCATTATAAAATCAGTTCAAATCAGATTAATGGCAACCATTGGGCTGGAGTTCTGTGAGTTACAAGACAAGAGATCTTCTGCTGCTATGTAACTTTTCTTCTTCTTCTTCTTCAACAGCTTTTTCTGTTAAATACAATCCCTGGGATGCCTTTATACACTTCCAATTTAGAGCAGGTCAAGCTTTTTCTGTGCTGAAACCTTATGCGCTAAACTGATCAGACAGAACTCCCTCAGCATGAGATCATGCCTTTCTTAATGACTGCAACTGACCTAGGCCAGGCCATTGAAAAAGGCAGGCTTCAGAACTCCATTCAGAGAACAGCAAGCTATGTTCGAGGAGCTGCGTTTCAGCCTCCCTTGCATTTAGGGCATGCCCCCCTGCTACAAATCTAATATGTCCGGGGGCTGTTATGCAATGCAGGAGTGCCATGTAGAATGCTATGGCTTGGGCGTTCTGAGTCTTGGGCGAGAATATTCCTTCCCCCTTTCCATTTCCAATTCTGGCTTGGAAAGAGGGTTGCTGGGTGTCCTACTTTACAGAAGACAGTTCTTTCTTTGAAGGGCTATCTGGCCCAAGGCTGTTTGAAAGATAAGAATGGTGAGCAGCGCCCCTGAATGTATCCATCAACAGTCAGCACATAGACAGCAGACTGAGCATCCAATCACACTCTACTCCCACCATTGTGAGATTTACTGCATTTTAAAAATCTTAATTATAGCAAGTATCTCTACATTTGCATCTGTCTCTATAAGTTAGCATATGAAAAAATTATCTGCACTCCTTTCTCTGATGATGAATAAATGGCTACCCTGTTTGCAAACCATCTTGATTTGGATTGGGGCATTTGTTGTTCCATTCCAGGAATCAAAATGTCTTGGGCTAGCCTTGTTTGGAAACAGTGCCCTCTGACCCGGAAGTGCTTCCTTTAATCCCAGATGTGGGAGATGGACTCCCTCTACTTGCCCAGTGAAGTTCATCACACTCTGAATCAGTGCAGGTGTGCTTCCACCTCACACTTCAAATTTAGGTATAGAATGGGTTGAAATTCATTGAAAATTGTTTTATACAAGTGCTAGCAGTCTGGGTCTGTATGAAGAGATACAAGAGAGGCCTCAATCTATAAACAGAATGAGGGACCGCCCTGTGTCTGCTCTGCTAGATCAAGTAAAAGAATTTGAGAAAGCAGGGTTTCCATAAAATATTTAAATTGCTTAACCATTCCAGACCTTGTTCGTTTTAATGGCGTTCTTGCCAAAAAGCATCTAAGGCTGCAATCTTCTGCACACTTGCGTATGGGAACGTTTGCACCATTGAGCACAGTAGTACTTACTTCTGAGTAACCCTGCATGGGATTGCAATGTATGAGATCCAGTTCCTTGGCAAAAGAAGTTGGACCTTTGTTCAAGCTGGAGTCCCTAGTTACACTAGATCAACTCTGAAGAATGGCTTTGTTTGTCAGATACCGAGAAATATGACTGTCCTTTTGCCCAAAACTTCCCCATTGTTTTGCTTAGTAACCACCTGAAATGTTTACATTTGCACACTGCAGTGGTAGTAAAAGGAAATCTTATCTCGTAGCAAAACCAACAAGCTGTTTCAACACAAGAACAATGTCTGCAAAACTGTCATGCCATCTGTGCTTGTAAAATTCTGTCTTTCATAGACACAACATGAAAGCCAAAGAGAGAGAGAAAGAAACAAGAAACACCCTCTGGTTTTTTTGGGTTCTGGAAGACAAAATATTCTGTATTTTGTTCTCCAGTATGCATTTGCTGAATTATGCTGAATTTTGAATTATGGTGCTGGAGGAGACTCTTGAGAGTCCCATGGACTGCAAGAAGATCAGACCTCTCCATTCTTAAGGAAATCAGCCCTGAGTGCTCACTGGAAGGACAGATCCTGAAGCTGAGGCTCCAATACTTTGGCCACCTCATGAGAAGAGAAGACTCCCTGGAAAAGACCCTGATGTTGGGAAAGATGGAGGGCACAAGGAGAAGGGGACGACAGAGGACGAGATGATTGGACAGTGTTCTCAAAGCTACCAGCATGAGTTTGACCAAATTGGGGAGGCAGTGGAAGACAGGAGTGCCTGGCGTGCTCTGGTCCATGGGGTCACGAAGAGTCGGACACGACTAAATGACTAAACAACAACAACAACATGCATTTGCTTTCCTAGAAAGTAATATGTAAGTATAGGAAAGAGAAGGAAGGATTCTTTCTGTCCCAGGGATGCAGAAGCTGCATCCCTCCAGATGTTGTGGACCACAACTCCCATCACCTCTAAGCACACACCATGCTGGTTGGGGCTAATGGGAGCTGGAGGTCAGCAATATGGAGAGAGCGCCACAGGTTCCCTATCCTTTCTCTACTGCACCATATAGAAGGCTTGCAAAACATTGTATTGAAATGCTAAACTCTTGGCTCAATTTCCAGCCCTTGTGTTACCAATGAGTCCAGTGGTATTTCGAGCGGCATGGTAGGACAGAAAGGAATAGATCTTGTGTTCTGTTCATGAGAGCAGCAGTGGAGATTGCAGGGCCGGGGTAGCTGCTTAGATTTTGTAATGCAGTTGGCTGCAAGGCTCTGCATCAGTCTTTGCTAGCCTTCCAGATGTTTTGGACCACAGGTCCCATCAGCCCCGGTCAGTATGGCAGTAGGCCACTGGAACTAAAGGGTCAGGATGCTGTCAGTGGTTCCCGGCTGGTTGCCCAGGAAAGTATAAAGACAAGGAAAAGTTTCTTACAGTCCTTTTTTATTTCATTCTTTACAGAGAGAGGCTATAGAACCCAGCCTCTTGGATATTGGCGTTGTCCTGAGTGAATCTCCACACCCCCCGTCTCTCCCACTTCCTCATTCATCACTTCTATGGGTGCTGCTACATGCCCTCTGTCTTTGAGCTCTTTGCTCTCCTACTTTTAAGGCTCACTGGGTTCTGGGAGATGGAGGGCCTGGAATGCTTTCCAGTGATAACATGTCAGCCAGCTGCTCCGGCTCTGCCGCTTCCTCCTCTCCCATCATTTCCCAGCTTTCCCCCTCATCTGCTACTGAGCTGTGACCTCCCTCAAACCCCTGTTGCAAATCTATACTGTCTTCCTCTTCCTCCACCCTGGAAGGTCAGGCTGGGGAGGCGGTCTTCCTCCTCTGCCCAGTCCCTGACATAAAGGCAGTTGTAGTCCAAAATATCTGGAGGGCAGGAGGCTCTCTCCCATCTTTGAGCATTCTCTAGATTCAGTTGCCATTACTATTCTGTATCTCCTAAAAACTCACAGGTTCTCATCAGCCCACCCACCTTCTGCCCTAACTGGCAGGCCATTGGCTGCAGTAGTGGCTCTCAGTCTTTCAATGGCCATTAGTCATTATGGTTACAGTGGTACCTGGGTTCTCAAATGTAATCCGTTTCCGAAGACCGTTCGAGTTCCGAAACATTCGAAAACCAAAGCGCTGCCTGCAAATTCAGTTGAGAAAATTGAAAAACACACAGTGGAAGCCATTCGACTTCTAAGGCACGTTCAAAAACGGAAGCATTTACTTCCGGGTTTTCGGCGTTCAGGTTCCGAAATGTTCATCAATGGAGATGTTTGAGAATCGTGGTACCACTGTATATGCTAACTCCAGGTTCATGGGCAGCATAGTGCAGTGGTACCTTGGGTTAAGAACTTAATTCGTTCTGGAGGTCCGTTCTTAACCTGGAACTGTTCTTAACCTGAAGCACCACTTTAGCTAATGGGCGCTGCTGGAGCATGATTTCTGTTCTCATCCTGAAGCAAAGTTCTTAACACAAGGTACTATTTCTGGGTTAGCAGAATCTGTAACCTGAAGCATCTGTAAGCTGAAGCATCTGTACTTGTTGCTGGGGAGCATCAACAGGAGATGGTTGTTGCCTTCAAGCCCTGCTTATACAAGGGCACCCCTGAAGCACCTGGCTGGCTATTTTGGAAAACAGGATGCTGGACTGGGTGGGTCAGGATCCAGTGGGGCTCTTCTTATGACCCAGACATCTAAAGAGAAGCATGTGCGGTTTGGGGAGCTAAAAGGACTGTCTTCTGTGTCCCAGTACTTTGCTGAGACCTTGGTTGCAGCTAGTATCCTCATTGCTGGTATGGCAAGCGTCATTTATCTTGTGCTGAAAACCTACCATTTCATAACAAGAGATATTTTATCCCTCCTTCTTCCCCCTTCAAATGCTCCCAAGCAAATCTGTCTGAGGGATAATAGAGAGCTGTGTGCCCCAGCATAGCGTGACCAGCTCTGAAAAAGATATTTGTCTTGAGAAGTGATTTTCAGACTTGGCACGGACAAGGAGAAGAGGAAGGCGGCAAGCTCTATGCATTTTGCATGTGATTATATGTTTCCTGAGGTGGAGCTATCCTGTTAGGAACATGAGGCAAACAGATCAGGTGCAAATGAAAGGGAACATGATTGTCATAAGGTCAATGCTTCACGGGGCCAAATTGGGGGGGGGGGGGCATGATAGAAATGAAAAGCTATCCCTCAGGAAATTCTTCCCCTTATGTAACTATCTAGTTACAAAATGCCCCTTCTGGCACTGAATGAAGGGATGGGGAGAAATTTCAGTGACAGTACTCCATATCGGTGAGTACCATCATACAGGTAAAAGGACTGTTTTCACAGTTTCCGTTATTTATTAAATTTATATACCACCCTTCACCCGAAGGTCACAACAGAAAAACTACAAAACAAGAAAACAAAATACATAATGAAACAAAAACAAAGCAATAACCCCCACCCCTTATCATTAAGGATCAGGCAGTAGTATTATACAACAAATAGCTTTATTTAAACAGGCTTTCTTTCATTCCTAACTTTCTCTGACCCTTCTGCGTGTGTGTTCTCTCTCTCTCTCTCTCTTGCTGAATCTTTTTCTGGTAGCTGTTCCCTCTCTGTGTGACTAAGTTTATCTTCTTGACTGCTGTCCTGACTGCTTCCACGTACATTGACACATTTACGTTCCATATTTTGGGATGCTTAAGTAATCATAGAATTGTAGAGTTGGAAGGGACCCTGAGGATTATCTATAGTCCAATTACCTGCAATGCAGCTGCCCCATACAGGGCTCGAACCTGCAACCTTAGCGTTATCAGCACCACGCTTTAACCAACTGAGTTATCCAGGCTGATGAATGGAACCTGGAATTTAATAGAGACGGATTTATACATTTCAGACGCCTGCCTGTGAGGAAGAACATACACACACGTTAGCTTTTCTAAGTATTACTCATGTAATCTCCAGCCTTGCCTTGTCTTCAGGCAAGGTCTCTCTGAATGATGGAGCCTATAGTCTCAGCTCCCTTGCTTCCAGCAGGCAGGCAGGCAGAGCTAGGTTCTATGGCTTCAATATCTGTTTCATATGTTCCTCCAGAGCATTAGAGGGTGTTTTTTTGGGAGGTGGGGGGAGGAATCTATTTCTTTAAGATGAATCGAAAACTGTACGTATTAACACAGTGGATGAAAAAACACAAACCCATAGAGTAAATGTGGGCTGGCCGGGGAGGGGCGGGGCAGGGGGCTGCACAAATGGTCTAAGTATTTTAGCCTTGGCTAGAATTGTTGGGCGGGGGAAATTGTTATGAGGAATAGATAAGAATAGTTAAGAATGAACTGTCCTACTCTATCCTAGGGATCAGCACAGTTTGCTTACTCAGAACAGCATGTTCTTATTAATTTGCTTTACTGGACGCTTCAAGCATGGTGGCAAAACATATCTAAGGGGCCACCAGATGGCTGGATAAGATACTTTGAGCACATCGCATGGGCTGATGCTGTCTTTGGTCCACTTTTATGTGTAATATGGACAGCAGCTTTTGCACATATATATGGTTAAGCCTGAGTTGGGCTGAGGGCACTTCTGTGCCCCCGCACCCCACACTGGCTGAGCATAGAGGCCTCCGACATGCCACAGAGTGACGAAAGTCAGCATCATTGCCAAGATGCAGAATGCGCCGTAGACTTCCACATCTGTTCACACTCAACAAGCCAACCAGATTCTGCCATTCAAAAAAGCAAAGAATTACCCAAGCCAGTAGTGAAAGCTGTCTGACTTCTAACATTCCATTTCATCCAAAACATCATAGCGCCTCTACTCATTTTCAGCCTTTCTTTTTTATTTCTTTACATTGCCAATTATGAAGAGGGCATTTTTACACTATTAGCAAAACTACTAATTTCTATGTGGTATTTTTGGACCCTTGCCTGCAACCCTATATACACTTACTTGGGTGTAAATCCCACTGAACCCCATGGAGCTTAACTCCAGCTTAGTAAAGACAAATGTTATGCAAATGTTACAGAATAAACTTTTCAGTAAATCCTTAGGGAGAGGATTACTGAAATTGATAATCACTTTACTATTCTAAAACTATAGCCTGTGTTCAATAGAATATAGATAGCCCACTCTTTAAAAGTTTCCAAACACCAACAAGTATGACAAGGAAATATGCCTCTGTTATTTTTGATTTATTTTTAATTTATTTGAAGTTCTCACGTTATTTTTGATTTGAAGCTCATTCCTCCTGAAATTCTTTTAATGAGCCAAACACACATTTGTATTTGTTCACAGTCTAGTCTTACACTTTAGGATCAAGGTACTGGGGCCATTACTTCTTATCCTATCTAAAGTGTGTAAGATAAACACTTCATTCCAGCCACAAACATCCCTTCCACCACCCCTGCCATTCTTTAAATATTTGAAAGCAACCAGCTTCTCCCCTGAGCTCCCCATGACCAGTTCCTCCTGCTGTTCTTCATATCATCGGCCAGACATACACTTAGGATGGAGTCTCCAACCCTTTTGACCTAAGACTGTTATATGTAAATGATCTGCAAATGGTGTTTAGAGGTAAGTTTCACATATTTACAGAGGTCCTTCTGCTTTCCAGCAGAGATAACCTATCACCGTCTGAACGATAAAGCCGTGTGAGATAAGAAGTCAGAGCCCACAAACCAGATTGAATCAATATTTACTGTACACCCGAAGATGACTTCTCTGCTGCCAGTCTCAGACAAGACCCTCAAGAAGATGTGATCCTCAGTCGAGCCTCTTTGCCAGGGCAGCGTGTTTGGGAACAAATCTTGGGATATTGGAATGACTTGAACTCATGAGCCTCGTTCTGTTCTACATCATTTAAGGGACTGAGCAGGCTCAACGTTGTCAGGGCAGTTTAGTAACCAGGTTAGCCGTAGCGATGGAGATATCTGTGCCACCCCCACCAGCTGCTCCTGCACAGAACAAATCTTAACAGTTTACACAAAAACTTTCCAAAGTGGAGACATCACCTCCTAGAATTATTCCAACACAGGACTAGACTGTGTTCTGGATGCCTCCTGAGAGTCATCTGCTATAATATACTGGAGGATGCAAGTGGCTTTATCATAGAATTGTTGCGTTGGAAGGGAACCTGTTTGAAATGCTTTCCAAACAAATCACAGTGGGCCACTGCTGTTTCTGGCCAGCATGGAAAAACCCAAGAACTAACCCCCACCCCAAAAGCTCTGCTGGATGGTTTAACGAGGGTGCAATAACAGCAGCCAAGTGTCTACACTGGCACCAAGTAGGGTTGACAATGATTCTTGAGAGGATGCTCAAGAGTCAAGACCCATCAACTACCTGACTCATCCTTGTGTTCCACAAAGCCAGGGCTTTGAGAGATGTGCCATTTTAGCTGGCAAATCCTTCAGAATGGTCAGAAACCAGTTGAATTCATCAACCTCCAGGGACAGGCCTTTCCCAAAGATTCCTGTCTGTGAAACTACTAAAGTAATTGTGAGAGGAAAAGGGGTCTCCTAATAACTGGATGGCTATATTGATCCTCTAGGTTCAGAGACAGTATGGCTCGGATTAGCAGAGGAAAGCACGTAACAATTGGAGCAGACTGTTGCTTCATGCCTTGCTTTGAACCAGTAGGGTTCAACTTCTCCTCTCATGGTAGTTTCCTCCTCTGGAACCCCTGACACAGATCTTCCACTAAAATAAATAGATAACTCTATCTTCCACCATTATCACCAAAACAGTATCAGTTCCAAAGCCAGGTCGGAAACATAACTCAATCAATCAACCAACCAGCCAATCCAATTTTATTACGTAACCACAGACCCATAGGAAATCTTACTGGGGGGAAATCTATATCTTATCCAGAAATGTTCTGGGATGACCACGTGCTCAGTTAACTGCTCTAAGGAAGGAGATCAGAGGCAAACAAGTATAGTCGCAAGAGGTTAACGTGCAGAATCACAGCTGGCCATGAGAGAACCTTTGGACTCCATCAACTGCAGTTTTAAAAGTGCTGCTTTCTAAAGGCAACTCCACAACTGTATTCACAAGCTTGCAACTCATAACTGGAAAATACAGCCCTAAAGCAATGTCTGATTATTAAACTTGTTTGGAAACATATAGAAACGAAACACAGAAACTGAAACCCTACATAAAAAGTTGGTGGATCCTGCATTTTTAAAAACTAACTATGACTAGGATGTTAGGGTCTTAATGTTAAGGAGTTCACATCTCCAGGGGCCATTGATGCTGGCCAGCATAATTTTATAAATGCCCATACAGGGAGAATGAGCCGATAAGATGCGATTCTGGCACAAGTCCCAATTCATTTATATTGGTAACTCCTTAAAGTGCAATTTTTCATAGTAACATTGTTCTACAGTTTGTACAACATACTGGAGGTTCTCTCCCCCACCTGCTAAAGAAGCCCAAGAGGCATAATTGACGGAAATGTGATGTAAAATGCCAAGGTCATTTAAATAATAGGTTCCTTTCCAGGCCAGATTACAGCAGAAAGGTAGTTCCCGAGGGAAAAGAAATGAGCACATGTGCTAAGAAATGTGTGGATGTTATATGGCAATGCTTGGCTATGTTACAACTATGTCTAATAGCCCAAAATAAAAGCAGTTCGGTCATGGGGGAAACATGCACATAACCAGGCTGGGGAAAAAACCCCTCTTTAAGAACTGTCCTTAAACCCGTATCTTATGACTACTAATAGAGAACCCAGGGACTGAGTGTTAATTCATTCCCAATGAGACAAGCTGGATTTCATCCCGAAGAAGGAAAACATCATAACTGTGATCTCATTGTCCTGCTGCTACTACACCAGTAGCCTTGAGGTTGTGGACTTGGGGGTATGGTCATCACAGTGGGGTTGGTGAGCCACACACTGATGCTCCAACCTAGATGAAACCTGGGATATCTGTAACAGGGTCTCCTTGTTTTTTAAAAATTGAGAGCAGCCATTGAGTGGGAGGTTTGTACTATGGTGTGGGAGAAGGAACCCTTGCCCTCTGTCATTTTCCTGGTGTAATTTTGCCCTCCTAATGCTACTTCCTGTTACACGTTAAGGCATTATTTTTTTTCAACCTATGGGGAGGAATTTGATGTAGTGCTAAGATAAAGTCCCTTAGTAGTGTACATGCACGGCCCCACAATCCAAACACAATGAGTTCTCAGGGAACTGTTTGATAGGCAAGAGTTTGCATAATGAGTCGACGATTTCCATTGATTCATGTCTGAAAATTTCTAATGTGTTTACGACCATGGAATTCTGCCCCCCCCAATGGCGGGAAAACCCAGGAAAACCCACTGAGACCTTGCAAAAGGCAAAAGGCATAATAATAATAATAATAATAATAATAATAATAATAATAATAATAATTTATTTATACCCCGCCCATCTGACTGGGTCTCCCCAGCCACTCTGGGTGGCTTCCAACCAAATATCAAAAACAATACAGCATCAGACATTAAAAACTTCCCTAAACAGGGTCTTTTAAAAGTAAAATAGTTGTTTCTTGCCTTGACATCTGCTGGGGGGGGGGGGAGCGTTCCACAGGGCAGGAGCCACTACTGAGAAGGCTCTCTGCCTGGTTCCCTGTAACTTCACTTCTCGCAGCGAGGGAACCGCCAGAAGGCCCTTGGCACTGGACCTCAGTGTCCGGGCTGAACAATGGGGGTGGAGACACTCCTTCAGGTATACTGGGCTGAGGCCATTTAGGGCTTTAAAGGTCAGTACCAACACTTTGAATTGTGCTCGGAAACGTACTGGGAGCCAATGAAGATCTTTCAGGGCCGGTGCTATATGGACTCATCAGCCACTCCCAGTCACCAGTCTAGCTGCCGCATTCTGGATTAAGCGCAGTTTCCGAGTCACCTTCAAAGGTAGCCCCACGTAGAGCGCATTGCAGAAGTCCAAGCGGGAGATAAGTAGAGCATGCACCACTCTGGCAAGACAGTCTGCGGGCAGGTAGGGCAAGCAAGGAAAGGGGGAAAACTCTCTTATTTGCCCAGACTCTCTCCCTTTACCCTTGTCCTTCCCTTCCCTCCCACTATGGTTTCTAGAGAAACGGCTCCCACAAACCAGCAAAACACAAAAAAGCAAGGCTTGCTTGATGCTGCTTATTGGCTTACAGTACTACACACAGGCCTGGCTGTTTGGATATCTGAATCCAGGAGGGCTGTGTTCATTGCAAGAAGAGGCAGAGTCAGTGCAATCAGGATCTGAGCAGAATTTTTGAGATCTTTGCCAAGACCCTCGCAGGCACTACAGGATGTACGGGCCCAACCCCTGATTATAAGGCTTTATTTATTCTGTTTTAATGAGTTGACTCTTATACATATGTTTTAGACATATTGATCCCACTGCTCCCTATGGATGGGGTGGCCTACCAAACAAACAAACAAACAAACATGGTTGCTCACCATGCAAGTGCAGCCTAAAATGCTTCTGCCTGCCTTTGGAAGGTGGTGGACTGTCCTTCAGTGGAGGTTTTTAAACAGAGGGATTATTTAGCTGTGATACCAGCATTGCTGGACCATAAAGAAGGCTGATCACCGAAGAACTGATGCTTTTGAATTATGGTGCTGGAGGAGACTCTTGAGAGTCCCATGGACTGCAAGAAGATCAAACCTATCCATTCTTAAGGAAATCAGCCCTGAGTGCTCACTGGAAGGACAGATCATGAAGCTGAGACTCCAGTACTTTGGCCACCTCATGAGAAGAGAAGACTCCCTGGAAAAGACCCTGATGTTGGGAAAGATTGAGGGCACAAGGAGAAGGGGACGACAGAGGACGAGATGGTTGGATAGTGTTCTCGAAGCTACAAACATGAGTCTGACCAAACTGCGGGAGGCAGTGGAAGACAGGAGTGCCTGGCGTGCTCTGGTCCATGGGGTCATGAAGAGTCGGACACGACTAAACAACAACAACCCGCATTGCAGAGAGTTGAAGTACATGACCCTTGGGGTCCTTTCCAACTCTACAGTTCAGTGGTTCTATGAAAGCTCATGGGATTTCCCCACCCCATATTTGCTGCAAGCATCTTAAAAGGGCACGATTGGTGTGTGCTTAGGAGCAGGTGCTTAGTCAGTAATCAAAGGACTGGCAAGAAGAAATAGGAAGTTATCGAGTGAAAGTCAGTATATTCACAGTGGGAGCAGTCCAGAGCAAGGTTTATTTCTGGCAATCGTTTGCTGCAGTCGTTCAGTTTCTGCTTGGAGCGGCTGGTTCGTAAACCCACAAAGTGCTCCCTTTAAAACTCGTGGGATTGAGGCGAAGTCTGAAGACAAAGAAGCGAGATGTCTTGACTTTGAGGTGGCCTTTCTTCAAAGCCCAAGGCAAACGCTGTGCAAGGCAATTACAGCCGGGGCCATTTCCCACCGCTGCACCCATTCGGAGGGAGCTCTAAAATGGCCAAACATGGTTAATAGCTGCATTGAGCTCTTGTTTGGGGATTAACAAGCCCTTCAGAAGAGTTTAACCTGCCCCTCACTTGGCTCAGAGCTCTTCACTAACAAACTGGTCATTAACCACTGCTGAAGAATCACTGAGTGGTTTCCTGGGATTACATCAGCGGTAATTAAAAAACCTAATCGCTCTCAACAATGGCCTGCTAAATTACACTAATTTATCATTCCACCTCTTGAAAAGGCCTCAAGTAAGTGGGCAACAAAGAAAGGGACAAAAACGCTGAACGGAATGTGATCCCCTGAAGATGCAATGCAAATCGAGAATTTCCTTGGCATCAGACCTTCTTTTTTATGTTACATTTGCGCACATGGGCCAAGACTCCAGTGTGCAGGGGGTGGAGGGTGCGGGAGCTTGTGTGTGTGTGTGTGTGTGTGTGTGTGTGTGTGTGTAGCTCAGGATGGGTGGAAACAATGTGCATACTAACTGGAATTTTCACAGGAATCAGATGTAATGGCTTCCTTGCAAAAAAAGAAGATAGGAGAATTATTTTAATTAAGGGATCCAAAAGGAAACAGAAGCATTTTTTCATTGGTTAAACTACCAGTCAAAAGGCAATACTTCTCAAACAGCTGCTCTGTATCTTAACGAAAGCACAGCAGTTCTTATTAGGGCTTGCTTGCATGCATGTGTATATCTCCATTTTACTGATAACTGTGATGTAAATATTTACAGCAATTACTTATGCTATTATTGAAGCTATTTGAGGAATATCTTACTCAGCCACCCCTACCTGCTGGCAGCATCAGACTTTGTGGGTTTTAAAAAGCAGATGTGTTGAGAGGAATAAGCAATTGTTATGAATGGGGGGGGGGAATGTTAATGGGGGAGGGAATAGCTTGTTTTAGATAGGCTTACTCTCCTTGTGTCTAATGCCTGAATCCAGATTGCTGTTACTATGCCAAGTTACCTCTAGTTCTTTAATGCACAAAGTGCTTTAAAATTCTGACTTATTTTCATCCTACCCACCACCTCAATGTTTCCGGATTAATCCATATCTGTCCATATTGAAGGCCATGGGGGGCGGGGAGTGTGGAGCAGAGGTTAGGATTTCCATTGTGCCCTGAGTTTCTTCAGGTCAGGGGCAATTGTGCCACCTCCTGGTGGCTGGCATCATAAAAGGGGGGGCAGGGAATCAGACAGAGTGTGATTCAAGAAAACACGGCAAGTGTATGTGTTGAATTTGAGGAATTACAGTGGTACCTCGGGTTACAGACGCTTCAGGTTACAGACTCCGCTAACCCAGAACCTCGGGTTAAGAACTTTGCTTCAGGATGAGAACAGAAATCGTGCTCTGGGGGCACGGCGGCAGAGGGAGGCCCCATTAGCTAAAGTGGTACCTCAGGTTAAGAACAGTTTCAGGTTAAGAACAGACCTCCAGAACGAAATAAGTTCTTAACCCGAGCTCCCACTGTATTGTATTTTAATATTTTGTTGAAAGCTGCCCAGAGTGGCTGGGGAAACCCAGCCTGATGGGTGGGGTATAAATAAATATATTATTATTATTATTATTATTATTATAGCAAGGAGGGTGAATGTAGAGGGGACGAGGCCTAAATGCACCCATTTGAAAAATATATTTTAGGGAAGCGTTGCAGGCTAACGCTTCTTATACGGGTATGGATATTGATGACTGCATTGCTTCTTATACGTTTGTTTTTATCCATTTATCACATAACTTTTAAGCTGCTTTTCAACACACACACACACATTTTCCCAAGGCAGTGTACAAAAAAAGGAAAGAGAGAATGGAAATAAATTAAGATCCTTTATCAACATAAAAATTGTAGAACGGACACACAAGGACAATGATGAACAAAAAGTGCAGCAATCAAAGCATTAATAAGAACATAGGAAGATCCTACTGGAAGAGGCCAACGGCCCATCTAAGTCCAGCGTCCTCTTCTCACAGTGGCCAACCAGGTGGCTGCAGTAAACCCTCAAGCAGGACCCAAGCACAACAGCGCTCTCCCTCCCATTGGTTTCCAGCAACTGATATTCAGACGCTATACTGCCTCTGCCCATGAAAAAGAGCATAACCATCATAGCTAGTAGCCCTTGATAGCGCTGTCCTCCATGAATTTGTCCAGTTCATCTAAGTTGGTGGCCATCGCTGTCTCTTGTGTGAGCATAGCTGTCAACTTACAGATTTGAAAATAAGGGACCAGCAGCCTTGAAAATAAGGGATCAGCAGCCAAAATAAGGGATCAACAATTACTTTGATGAAATACATATTTTGTTGCATGCACATGGCTTTAGATACCTATTAGGTCCATAAATGACCATATAGCATATATTCAACACAAAAAAACAGCAACAATTTGTTGTTGACAAAGCACAGCTGGACATAGAAAGGGCCCCATTACCTTCAGTAGCTTATTTAAGGGACATCATCAATAAGGGACAGCAGCGGGACATGGCGCTGATATAAGGGACTGTCCCGCCAAATAAGGGACGCTTGACAGCTATGTGTGTGAGTGAGTTCCATAGTTTAACTATGAGCTGCATGGTAATTTTAGCCAGCCACGTTAGCAGAATCAGCTGGTGTGGTAGGGCAGGTTTTGGGGCATACCTGGAAGGGGCTGGGGTGGGACAGAGTGGTGATGAGGTCAAGGCTGCCTGGGCACATTGGCAGGGATGCTGCATTGGTTCTGTCGCCAGTGCCACCCTGTCCCAGCCTAGCTCCGTTCAAGTAAGATACAGCAGCGTCAGAGTGGGGAGGATATTTCTGCTCCTTTGCCCGACTGCAATTTGGCATAAAATCTAAGCAGCCTATAAAATGCCACCAGGAGACAGAGAACGAGGAGCAAACAGAAGGCTATAGCTTACAGAAGTGTCCTCCCTGCCTTTTGCAAACCAAGGAGCTGACGAGTAAATGAAACACATAGAGCAATTTTACTTGAGGTTAATTTGCTCAGGAATAAATCCCACTGAGTTCAGCAGAGCTGGGTCAGTTGGATTGAAGCCATACTGCGCTGAGGTAAATCTTCAAACGAAGCCAAGTTAAAATACTCACCTTATGTGTTTAAGCTTTCTATAAAGAGTAGCATGGCTCAAAAGATGCGTGTATGGGTTGGGTTTTGTTTTTGTTTTTTAAGTCCAATAAATTCTTTGTTTTCATTGACCAATGGATTCTGCCCCCATCCTGCTTTTATCCACTCTGCTGCGTGGTAGAGTGTGATCTTTACTCTCTCTTTCCCTGTAGGTAACAAACTTGGCTGCTGCACTGCCTAATCCTGTGATCTGGTGCCCTCCTGGGAAACTCAATTCCAGGCAACTTCCTGACAAAGCTATTCATCAGGCATATGGACCACATTGATTCTCGAAGAGCAGTCATCATCTCTGGGGTCAAATCTCACTCAGCCTTTGAAATGCTAAACTGCAGAAATGTCCACAATCAGGTAAACATTTCCCAGTTACATTACTCATTCAGTATCTGCACCTAATTATTTAATCTGCATGATTAACTGTGTGTATGTAAAGTCTACATGATTAAGAGCCCCGGTGGATTAATTTTCATTTGAAAAGCAATTTGTACCTCTCAGACATACATTTGTGAACATAACAAGATTATCCCAAGAAAAGACAGAGTATTCTCGTATGGAAATATTGCAAATGGGTAATGAAGAGAAGAGAAGAGAAAAGGAAAAAGTCAGCGTAACATGCCTTCCTGTTCTGCAAAGAAATGTTTCAGTCACTGGATTTCAGACTTCTTAGCCTCGGGCAACTTTGAACTTCCCATCCTTGGTGCCTCTTCACACAATTGTAGTTGTAGTGTATGGAACTCACTGCCACAAGATATGGATATGGTTATTGGCTTAAATGGTCATATAATCCACATCTTAAAGGATAACGGGTAAAGGGACCCCTGACAGTTAAGTCCAGTTGTGAACGACTCTGGGGTTGCAGGGCTCATCTCGCTTTGCAGACCGAGGGAGCCGGCATTTGTCCACAGACAGCTTTCCGGGTCATGTGGTAAGCATGACTAAGCCGCTTCTGGCGAAACCAGAGCAGCGCACGGAAACACTGTTTACCTTCCCACCGGAGTGGTACTTATTTATCTACTTGCACTTTGACTTGTTTTCGAACTGCTAGGTGGGCAGGAGCTGGGACCAAACAAAGGGAGCTCACCCCGTCACAGGGATTTGAACTGCCGACTTTTTGATCAGCAAGCCCAAGCGGCACAGTGGTTTAACCCACAGCGCCACCCACCTAATCCACACCTTAGATTTTTTTCCCCTTAAATGGAGGGCAAATCAATCAATGGGTATGACATAGGTTAGAACACCATCTTCAGAGGCAGCGTATCTCTGAATATGGCTGCTACTTTCATGCTTTGCTTGTGAGAGTCTCGGAAGCATATGGCTAGCCATGGTGGGAATCTGCCTACTGGCCTGGAGAATATTATTTGTTTATTTGCAACCATCTTTATAGACTGCCACCTCATATAAAATATCAAGATGGAGTCCAAAAAAACATCCTTCTTCCTTGGCGACACAGGTGCAGTAAAGCATTAGCTACTATCAAAACAATACAAACAATCATTCAAAAATGACCAGCTTCTATAGAAAATGTTTAAACAACTAAATAGGCCCATTGGCCTTGTATCTAGGCATGGGGCTGCAGCTGTCCATCTCCAACCACGACGTTTGAAATCCTTGTCCCTGAAAATGACTCTTATATCAACACTTTCCATGGCCTGAAGCAATCCAAGGCTCCAGCCATCTCTCCCAGTTCTTCATGTTCCACCACCAAACACATTTCCTATTACTCTTCTTTTACCTTGTAAGTAACAGGGGCACTGGAGGCAGGTGGAGTGATTCATGGCCCGAGGGTTCCCTCCTTATTCTCCTCTTTCTATTGCCCCCAAGCACCAATTTGCAGTGTGCCAGGGTGCAAAAGCCTGGAGATAGTCCATAGTCTTCCAGGCTTTCTGCTTTGCCACACCGCTACCCATCTTGCCCATTAACAGGAAGTGAGAGAAGAGGCAAACCCCTCTCTCCTCTCTCTCTCCCCCCCTCCACTGTTCTCACTGACTCAACAAGTTGCAACCTATGTGAACAGAAATGGGAAGGGGAAGGACTGGCTAGGAGGGCTTTTGGAGATGGCGAAGGCTGATGGGAATGTGCCAAGTGAGGGAATTCTTCTCTGGCTTGGATTTTGATCCAAGCAGCAGTGGAATTCTGGGACTATGAAAGCTTGCATCTCTGAGGTGGGTTTTTGAGAACCCCAAATATCCAATCATGGCTGCTGGGAACTGCTCCAGCACCTCCAGTTAGTTCTATTTCACACAGAAGCAAATTTGTATTTGGCTCCAAGTGCACATTTTACAGGGACGTGGGTGGCGCTGTGGGTTAAACCATAGAGCCTAGGACTTGCTGATCAGAAGGTCGGTGGTTCGAATCCCCGCGACAGGGTGAGCTCCCGTTGCTCGGTCCCAGCTCCTGCCCACCTAGCAGTTCGAAAGCACATCAAAGTGCAAGTAGATAAATAGGTACCGCTCCGGCGGGAAGGTAAACGGCCTTTCCGTGCGCTGCTCTGGTTCGCCCGAAGCGGCTTAGTCCTGCTGGCCACATGACCCGGAAGCTGTACGCCAGCTCCCTTGGCCAATAAAGCGAAATGAGTGCCGCAACCCCAGAGTCGGTCACGACTGGACCTAATGGTCAGGGGTCCCTTTGCCTTTTTGCACATTTGACAAGGAGCTTCAGCCAATTATATTTGACTGATGAACATACCTGTATAATGCACATTTTTGCAAGGATGCATTTGTTACACTGCATTTTTAAGTGCAGGCTTAGAACATCTTGCAACAGCATGCAATTGAAAAGGGAACGTGTTAATTGGGCATTCGTCTCCAAGAAACGAAATAGCACCTTAGGTTCTAACTGGATTGTTTTCGCATAGGCTTTCTTCGGCTCGGTCAGAAGCTTGTGCCAAATAACCTAGAACACAAAAACTGTGTTCTTCCGGTAAGGAGGTGATTGCTTTAAGCACCGTGTGATAATGGAGACCTGAATGAAGCTGCTATTGTTGATCGGGATTAAGATTGGGCTGACTCTTCAAAAGAGGCTAAATGGATGGAGAGGCATTGTGAATGAATATGCCAAGACAGCAACTCCAAGGATTTTGCTAGCCCTGACCATTCACCGAATGGCAGCTGATAAGGTTTTCAGTAACATGAACTCCACTCTTTGGATAATGCCCCCCTGTAATCTAGGCATAATTAAAAGTGTTAACAATTTTGTTGCCTTTATCTGAACACATTTTTCCCACATGCTTGAAGTGACCCAGGTCATAATCTAAAGACAAGCAGCCTTCTTGTTTTACACGCTATTAGTCTTGTGAGCTATTCCTTCAGCGGGTGTGCAAAGGTCACTGTACCCCAGGCAACATCTTTTGCCAGCATCTCCCACAAATCCAGGATGCACCAAAACAAACACAGATGGATTACATGCTGTCTGTGAGCTCAGCATTTCTTTGGCCCTCTTTCCTTGGATGCCAGAAAACAATTAAAGGCTCTTTGTGTGTAAGCTGTGATGATGCAGACAAATTATTTGACAATTACCCTGTCGGTTACCTTTATTAAATCCTCCATAAAATGATTCAAGCGGGTGCAACGTGGTTCCACTATGTTCTTGCTGCACAGGCTTCCTTTATAAAGGAACAGGAATAAAATTTTAAGATGAGGTGGAGGACAGAATTGATGATAACAGGTACTGAACCCAAAGTTGAATTTAATTTTTTTTTAAAAATGATATCAGGAAAAAGTAATAATTTCTAAAACACTAAAACAAAATCCAGTGCAGTACAGCACTGTAAAATTGTATTGTATAACACCGTACAAACTCATAACCATACAATTAAAATGGGTGGGATTTACAAAAAGACCCAAAAAACCTCAGCAGTTTGGCTACGCAATGAGTACATGAATGATCACTTGATTACTTAGAAATCTTTATGGTCTCTGCTATAATTGAGAAAGATAAACATGCCATTTGAAATGCACAAAAATTGTGAATATATTTATAGAATGTATAAACCATTTACTTAAAAAACAACAACCCAAAACTCTAAATGGCATAGAACAGATTAGCCAACAGTTGCCAAAGAATACCATTTCCTACAGGGCATCATCACCAAGACATTCTCCAGCAGCAGGGAGGGTCAGTTCATGAAGTGAGACCATTTGGTTTATTTTCAATAGTCATTTGATATAAAGAGAGCCACCTCAGTTTTCATTATTACCAGAAGGCTGTGTGAATGCCAACAAATCAGCTTGCTCATCCTTGATTGGGTCTCCTGAGGGAGAATTTTTTTAGTGGTTTTTAAAATATATATATATATCTTTGCTCTTCAAACACTTGTTCGAAGAATTTTCCAGTTTGTATGAAGAATCAACTACTTAATCCTCTTCAGGTCAGTGAGAAAAAGGATAAGTCAGGACAGTTACACATAATGGAATGAGAATGTGTAGAAGAACGGGAAAGGAATAGTCTCCACCAGCTCACTACACCTCTTGGCGCCAGTCGCTCTGTGTACAGTTGCCGCCCAACTCAAAATTCATGGTTCATATCCAGAAAGTGTGGTGTAGTTTAAGCTTCAGACAGATTGGTATGTTAGCTTTGTGGCAGCAGGGCTGAGCTGGATGCAGGAACGGCCCAAGACATTTGGGCGCCTGATGCAAATCCCAAAATGGCAGCTCCCCCGCCACTGCCAGGGAAGAAGGGGTGAGTGAAGATGCACATTAGGAACAAGGGGGAAATAAAGATCAATGTTGGGATCTGCTGCCCCTGTGGGTCCTGCTGCCTGAGATGGTCTCCTCACCTTGCCTCATGGGTGGGCCAGTCCTGCCTGGCTACATAGATAATATATCAACACCCAGCACTTTATGCAGTTGTTGGGGTCACAGCATCCCAGAAGAACCCACCTGCCCCTCCCCAAGTGGACTGCTACTGACTTTGAGCCGCCGTTTAAATTTCCCACAATGCACCAGAGTGATATTACATTGTGTGCTTTGAGGCATTTGGGGAAACTTCAAATGGTGACTCGTGGACTGGGCAATCCTCCTGCTAGGTGAGCCCAATGGCACTTCCCGCGTCTTAAATTTACAATGAAACAGCCCTATTTCACTATAAAAATGAAATTTGAACTTTTATTTATTTAAGTATTTCTATACCTCCACCTCATAAAATATATCAAGGTGGTATACACTATAAAACATAAAATATCATTTAGTTTTGTTTTTAAAAATGCACAGATAATCAATTGTGGTGACTCACTAATAACAAATTAAACATAGATGTTAAATAACACAAGGGGACAAAATGGTGCCCTAGAGAACCCCATAGCCAAAGTGCCAGGGGGTTGAAGAGCAGTCCCCCAACGTCGCTCTCTGGACTTGACCACACAGGTAAGAATGGCATCAGCCAAGTATGGTGCTTCCAAGAACCATCCCACTCAGTCATCAATGAAGAGCTACATAGCCACATAGAGCTACAACTGGTTCCCACTCATTCTGTTTTTAGGTGTCAGATGAAGACTACAAATGTGTTGTGTGGGTGTGGTAGACACCTTGCCCTGTTGAGTATTGAAAGTGTTGGGTGCCTGGGGTTCTTCCCAAATCAGCCTTTTATTTTTACACAATCTGGTAGGCTAGAACTTTTGGGTGGGTGGAAAGGGATCTTCTTTTGACTCTCGGTGCTGAGAAGTGTAAAAAAAAGAGGAGGTGGGGAGGGGGGAAAGAATGTCTTCTTAATTGGTAGGTGTTGAGAACTTTACAATATCTGGTTCCAATTGTGGTTGAAGAGTTGGCCTGAACTGGAGAAATCCTGGCCAAAGGGATAGGCCATAGCCATAAAACAATGAGGAAGCAATGACTCCCAAGACAGACTTTTTCAGTTGTTTCAAAGGCCAAAATAAATGGTCCGGTAATAGCTGGAGGATATAAGCTAGCTTATCAATCAAAGAGCCTTTCATACAGTCGCTTGCTCACTCCGGGTGCTGCTGGTAATGCCATATAAGCTTCTGAATGAGGCCATGAATGGGCTGTCTGGAGGATCCCCTGGAGATAAGACTTGTGCGGAAAGCTGAAAATAGGGGTATTTGCAGATGTGAATTACTGGCCGTGGGACTCGCAAGCATTATTACAGTTGCCAACTGACAGCAGGGAGAGGGAGAAGCGTGGTCTGCCTCTGTATCTCCATCCAAGTTTAATATGCAGAAATCAGCAGCTGAAGCTGTTGGGGCCATTGAGATAAACACAATCACCTGCTAATTGCTGCAGAGCCAGCCACTGGTGATGGGACAGGGGCCAGTGTTGATGTGGGAAGCCTGACTACTGCTTCCAGATCTGAGGGAAGGAGCAGACCCAACTCTGCTTATGCGCTCCTCTACATCCCATTCCATTCCAGCTCCAGTCCCTGGCTGAGATCAATGAGCCTCGGCTTCTGTTCAGCTTAGGTTCATCCTGGCGTTATTTATCTCTTCACAGCTCTACTCCAGTGTCCTTAACAACTGCATGGGTGCAGAACAAAGCAGGATACTTCACCCCCATTACTGTTCCCTGCCCCCAGTTACTCCTCCTCTAAGCACTGAGAGAAGATATGAGGGGCTGGTGGGGAATAGCCCCACCCCAACCAACGCATCCAGAAATCACATCTCCCTGCTGTTCATGTTTCTGGCTGGTGTGCAAAGAGTCTGGGCATAGTAATGAACTGGTTTCCATGACACAGTAAGCCAAACTATGGTCTTGCTTACAGCTCGTGATTGGTAAGGAGAGAGCTTAGTTGTTTGGGTGACATATACAGTGGTACCTCGGGTTACAGACGCTTCAGGTTACAGACTCCGCTAACCTAGAAATAGTACTTCTGGTTAAGAACTTTACCTCAGGATGAGAACAGAAATCTCACAGTAGCAGTGCAGCGGCAGCAGGAGGCCCCATTAGCTAAAGTGGTGCTTCGGAGTAAGAACAGTTTCAAGTTAAGAATGGACCTCCAGAACAAATTAAGTTCTTAACCTGAGGTACCACTGTAAAGCCAAACCTTACCTTAGCTCAACGCATTGTGGCCCACAAGTCTGCTCACTGTGTTGTGTGAATCAAATCAATTTGATTTATTTTTATCTGTTGTATCTACACCCCACCTTTTCCTCCAAGGAGCTGAAGGTGGCGTAGATGGTTCTTCTCATTTAACTCCCACAACAGCTCTGTGAAGCAGACTGGGCTGAGAGGCCATGAGCTTCATGGCTGAGTGGGGATTTGAACCCTCATCTCCCAGGTCCTAGTCTGACACTCTAACCACTACTGCACACTGGCTCTGTATTTCAGCATGTAGAGTTCCTCTGTGTTAGAGGGGACCCTGATTAGGCCAGTTTCCCCATATGGAGAAGCCCTACACGCATGTATGTCTACTTCCGTAGAGTCTTTCCACCTGTTGCCCAAGTGCACAGAGAACAAAGAGTCCATTGGTATCTGACGACCCCCCACAATATATATTTTTCAACACTTTAATCTCTTTGTCATGGAATGAGCACTCACACTTACACTGTGGGTGTCCTTTGTGGGACTGCATGTGGTGCTTCGGACCCCGGGGAACTTACCAGTTGTATGGGCTGGCCTGCCTCTCAGTGTTATGCATTGGAGGTTCATACCCAGCCTCAGTTAAGTGAATTTACACTGCTGGGAGGTGGGGCCAGTCACATAAATAGGGGGTGGAGCCAGCAGCAGCCAGGCAGTCGGCTCAGGAGCTTCACCCACCCAACCCACCCTTTATTTAATGTTTCTTATTTGCAGGTTAATCTTTTTCTTCCTGTTTAGCGGGCGCTGCGACGGTCTTTTGATTGGTTGCTGTTGAAGAACTGGGAAGAAATTTTCCTGCACTGGCAGGTTTTGTCTTCCCCATAGCAATTTTGTCACAACTTTGATGGTTT